CGCTGCACAGCAAAAACGCATAAAAATTGGTTGGGGATGCGCATTGATTGTTGTCGACAACCTGTTCCGGCTGCTGTTGATCCTGCCGCCGCCCGTCGGCGTTGTTGCTGCTCGCCGCGCTCGTTCTCATCATTTTCTTGCAGAATGAGAGGACTGACCGAAGGAAGGGCTTCGGATAATCGCCAGCCCATCAGTACCACCCGAAAGTCCTACCACTACCGGTCATGGGCAACATGGCGGAAGTCCTAGGCCGGCCGAGGAAGGTGAGGACTCATATTCCTGGCGCCATATGCATACAAAGATGAAAATAAATTTTCGAATTTGATCGGAACTATACTAATCATACTTCTTGAGAAGTTATATCTTCTCGACAGATATTGTACATTAAAGTATTATCGGTGCAAATTTCACAGCGTTGCAAATATTCATGGAGAACCAAGCCACAGTCAGTTTCATAGGCAATTCTGTGGAACTTGCACAGATTACCCTTTTTACATGTAACGTCTGACTGGAGACTGTAACACATACTTATTTCCTCCCTAAGATAAATTTAATTGCCATTTCGTCCATATCAACACCATGTAGCTGTAATATGGCCCAAGATAAATTTAATGCCACTTTTAATTATTTCGATTTCAATGCTTTAATGTTTGCTTTTTTTATCAAAAAATTTTGGCTTTGCCATGAGTATACATCCATATTTTTGGACACATAAATAGAGCATTTGCATTCTTTTAATATTTGAAATGCTGTGCACAATAAATGCAACCTTTCTGATAAGCTCTCTGCTCATCACCAAATCTCCAACTGCTATGTTCAGCTGTTCCGCGAATTTTCTGCTATTATCGTTCATTCGGTGACGATTTTCCGCCAACCAGTCAAAGGCTTCCTGAAATTAACGTGCTTTTTGCTAATATTCTTTGTGAAATACCCCAGATGAAATGTTACATTCACTGAATCGCCAGATCGGAGCCTACCCTTTTTTTAGGCTCGAGGTTGTTGCGTTCCAGCACCGAACCAATCCTTAGCACTTCGTCGACGTTCACCGTCACTCGGCCTTTCTCATGTTTAGGCATTCCTGGTCACTAGCTTCTTTTAATCTAGAGGAAAAACAGTAAGGTGAGAAAAGTGCCCGATCGAGGCAAGCAGACAAATTTTTCTTTCAGATTTGCTTCATTCTGTCCAAAAAAAGCGCAGCAAACTTAGAACTGGTAGTCTTCGAACACCTGCTGCAATATTTTCCTTTGCCATTCACATTTCATGAGATCTTTTCTAGTGCCAGAATCAAACACTTTTGATTTCAAAGTGAGACTTTACTTGTCAAGTCATAAAAAATTCATTGGGCAGCAGAAATTTCTTGATTAATTCGACTAGTTTTTTTGAACTCTGAGTCAACTTATAGAAAGGAATCTAAAAATTGTTCCAAAAAGAAAGTTGCTTTATTTTGGTTTCGCAAACATACTTTTGCACAATCAACAACTCCTCCGAAACTGGTGTTATTGAAGTGCAACCATCTATATACTGGAAGGGTTTTGCTGTTGCAGAGCATTTCACACTAGTGCCTCTTCCTCTACTTAACAGTCTTCAGTCAGTCTGCCATGGAAAAATTTCTTGCAGAGCTTTCAGCAGCTAAAATGATCCAAACACAGTTTTGCCCTAATTTTCTTAATACCATGGTGTGAAATTCCGAAAGCATTCCTACAAGAAAAGCATTCACGACACAGTAAGCGGCTGCTATTGCTTTACGGCTCGAATTTAGTGAAATTTCGAGATACACCTCGATGAGTGTTGCAAAAAGAGACACTTTATCGAAATCAGCCGCACACTATGACAGTAGACGAAAATTCTGAGCATCTTATAGTACTATTCCTGGAAAAATTTGAATAG